CCCTTCAGCCTATTTTTAACACGAACTAAGACGTCTAATGGCCTGTCTCAAAACTTAGTTTTCAGTTATGTTTGAGCTAAAAAAGAGACCTATTTTAAGCACTTAATTTTCAATATTCTTTGTCCTAAAAGATTCAGTTCATCCAGGCTCGATTGCATTCCACACCCTATCTCAGCATCCTCAGCTTCTCAGTGGGATTGAAACTCATGCCTTTCTTTTTAATGATCTAGTGGATAAATTCATTGTAATGACGACTATCGGAATCCAAGGCACATTTATTTTCATTAAATAGCACCTTTGATCTCAGCGATGAAAACGTTTCCATTTACCCCTTGCTATATTAGCTTATGACGGGAAAAAAACAGCAGCCTGATCGCAGTAAACAGAATTATCTGATTCCACATGCAGATAAAATAGTAACTTTCGATGTGTTTATGTTAAACTTGCGGATTAAGGAGAAATCGTGTTTTAATCAGAAAGGTGTACTCACTAATGCACAAGCGATAAAGGGTATTATCGAGTAAGCATTTAGCTACCAAGAAAATGTAGGGATGTGTGCTATAGTGAGTCACTATACAGTTGGCCAGAGATATTTTTCCATATGTATTTTTAAATAAAATGTTGGTTTTCACTTGGAAGTCTTATTTTGCATTTGAGAATATCGGAGATTAATTAATAACTATTAAATCAAAACAATATTTTCAAAAAGACTTTTGCAGTCTCTTGTTTTTCGAAATTGCTTGCTTTCTTTTCATGCTACCTATTTATACACATTTCTTTTGTTTAAATTCTTCGATCTCAGAATACTTCGAACGCAATTCCTTTGAGCAGTTTTGCATCAATTACTGCAACGAAAAACTTCAGCAATTCTTTAACGAACGCATCCTTAAAGAGGATCAAATCTTATACGAGCGCGAAGGCCTGAATGTAAAAAAGATCACGTATATGGACAATCAAGACTGCATAGGTATGCGTTCAAACCTATAATTAAATTACTCCATTTTTTGGGAGAAATCCTTGCTGATAACTTATTTTGAATTAGAGTTCTGGTCGCCCTAGATCACATAAAGTGATGAAAAACTTTTCCTTGAATTTTCAAGCAGTGATACGAGGAGGCCTCACGCCTACATTGAATTTTACTTAGCATTGCTTTCTAAAAAATATTCGTATCCTTTGTGATAGAAGGAGACAATTCTTTTCTTTTAAATATCTACTACTGTATAGTATTTTATAACATGACTCCTTTATTTCCTTCATATTCTTAAAGTTTTATTATATTCTACTTTAAACTTCTCCTCCCTTTTAACATCTTAAAAGAATAGTCAATCACTTAAACAAACAGTAAACTATCATCTGTACACATCAAATATGACTCTCCCTACTTTACCCACCAAGGGACACCAAGTTGTATCCAATAGGGGAGCTGCTTGCTTATTTCTCACTATCTACAATTTTGAAAACAATAGGCTTTTATGTGAGTAGCGGCTGAGAAAATTTTGTCTCTTCAGCTTAGTCAACTCAAGTCGTTGGAGCCAAGATTTAGCGAAGCAGCTATCACGTATTTTCGCGAATTTCAACTAATCGCATAAATTTAGTGTCTTTTGCCTAATTCTATTCGCTAACTAGATGAAATTTTGCGGGCTCATCACGTAATCACTTAAGAAAACTCATAATTCCGATAATTTGACTTGGTCCATCAATTGAGAAGGCTCCCCACCCTTTTAATCCCATCTCTGGTTACGCTGTATGAATAAAGTAAGATCATACAAATACCATACAGATGGGTTCCTGTGAGAGGTTATACTCCTTCCAGTTTTTAATTTAATAAATATTGGAATATTTTGTAAAAAATCTGATCATCAAATGAAAACAAAAAACATTTTAAATACCATTGAGTCTCTTTTTTCTTGCCATTCAGCTTATTCCTTTGTCAATCTTTGTATCACTTTTGGCACATAGATACCATTTCATGCTCCCTTTTTCATATACCCAACTTAGCCAAATGAACGCAAAAAGCTGTTAAAACTATTGTTTCATATTGTTTACCCTTGAATTTGTTTGTTATTTGGTTCCCATTCATCTATCCTGCAACTAATTTGTAGATATTAAGAGAAACTAGGTTTCAATGAATCTTCTGAGATAACATTGTTGGGTGCCTTTCATATTGTAGGAAAGTACATGAAGAAGTTATTTGTCGGTCGATCTCACTATAAGAGGAAAAATAAATTCCGTTGTACTGCAGCCGATCAGCACTACGAGGTTATGTTGACGCAGTCCAAGAGACCTCGTTTTCAGGTGAAAACAGGCTGGGCTTTCGTCCATCCTTTGACGGACATCATCAGATCTGGGTCTCATGTAAAAAGTCTCCTGTAAAAGTCTTACGTTAACAATAGGGCAGGAAAACTATACGGCTCGATTTTACCTTTTAGCTAGACTCATTTAAGCAAAATAAAATTTAAAAAAACTAGTTAGATAAAGAGTGCTTTGGCTAATTATCGTTCATACTAGTCCATCTAAAAGAAGGCGACTCAAGTGGTCGACTCAGTAATGGTTCTAGACTGAGAGGTTAGGACAAGTGGTTTCGTAACTTGAGTTTCATGCCTACAAGATTATATCTTATAATCTCAAAAATACTTGCTTACGGACTTACGCAGTCTCTTTCAGGGTCATTAGGCCTTGATGCTCAGAGCCTGACATTAGCCTATTGATAACTCTGATTTAGGACCGGTATTGAGCATAGATGCAAACACAGACAAATATACTCGTGCACACTCTGAATCCAAAGAAGCAGGCCCAGTATGAAAGATAGTTAGCCAGACAACTCTATGTCTATTTAGGTTTTTTATTTTCTTTTGCTTACTTGAGTCTATATAAGAAGTAATATAGAACCAAATAGTCTTCTTGCCCTAGTTTTAGCGTGAGACTTTCAAAAGAATGAGTTCCAGCTCTGATGATGTCCATCATATGATGGACGCAAGCTCAGTCCGTATTCAAGTGGACTGCGTCGATCTGAACTTCGTATAAAAGCCAAACGGCTGCAGTACAACGGGATTTATCCGTCCTCTTCGGGTGAGATCGACCTACGAATTTCTTCTTCATGCACTCTCATACGAAATGAAAGTCCCCCCCAATAATGCAAGCCAATTGCGGCAGAAATCTTGGAAAGGGGTCTGAACTTTGCCTTTTCAAATGAGTAAAATCACTCTATGGAGATACTGGTGCAGTTAATTAACCTAACAGACAAGCTGTCAGACGAGACTAAGAATAGTATGCAAAAAGGAGTGATTCCTCATTATGATAAGGTAACCATCCCAATGAAATATTATGACTTGAATAAGGTTTCTAGCTATTTGCACCAAAATGATCTGCTTGTTTTAAAGGCAGATAAAGGCGGTGCAGTCGTCATCATGGATAGGCAAAGTTATATATAAAAAATAATGGTTCATTTAAATGACCCAGCAACTAACAGACTTTTAGTGAACGATTCCACATAAAGTCTTAGGGCCAGACTTATGGAATCGCTTAACGTTTGTGTGAGCAGAGTAGAAATTGAGAAGTGGAAAATGAATTGACTTCTTCAGAAGGATGCTAGGGCACCTTTGGCTTACGGCCTTCCAAAAATACACAAGGAAGGAGTTCTTTTAGTAACAAGGATACTCTGAATTCACGTTTTTTCTGTAGACAACTGAGGAAATTGGCTG